GAGGAGCTTGCCAAAGAACGTGATGAAGAAGAAGAACAGGCAGCTCAAAACATCTCATACCTGTTGGCAGATGATATGGAGCTTGATTTTGATGATGATGATGTTCCAGTATGGCGCTCCATTGTCGACAAGTATAGAGGAGGTGATCAGGTGCTACAGGGAGAAGCTGTGAAGATTACTCACCTGTTCAGGGATCAAAAGGACAATGAGAAGGCGACAGAAGCTTTCAGTTCAGAGAGGACAGATTTTTATGAGACCTCAGGACCTCTTCCAAGAACCGAGGGAGAAAATCTTGTAGAGGACTTGCTCACCAAGGATGTTGCAGAACAAGCTTTTGAAGCAGGTGAAGAAGTTCCTCCTTATACAAGAGTCTCCACTATCACTGGTGAAGTCTATACTGGAAGTAGAACACTTCTAGAAGATGAGAATATGGAAGAGGAAGTTCCTGAAGAAGATCCTGCAGTTGAACCTGGAAAGGAAAAAGAAATATTTGATGAAGATGCAGGTGTTTTTCCTTCAGAGGAACCAAAGATGGAAGTTGACCAGGAGGAAGCCAAGGAAGAGTCAACACCACACTTTCTGTCAAGAGAGATAGGTGAGGACTCGACTGCATCGCACTTACCATCAGGTGAGATGGATGCTAACCTTGATGATACTTCAGGTCAGCGGAAATCTAAGAAAAGCCGCCTGAATAAGATTCCTGATCCTCATTTTCATGAAGAAGTTCAGGATGACGCAACCATGGAAGAGAAGAAAGAGGCGGTGGAGAAGATAAAAGAGGTCAGAGAGGATGATGGAGAGAAGAAATTGGAGGCTGAAATCCAAGAATCTTTTCCATCTGAAGTAGTTGTTGAAAAGGATACAACAAAAGCGGACAATACCTATGAGTTGCATACTTCACCTTTGAAGTTGCTTGGAGAGCTTACAGGAGATCCAGGTATTGGCTTTTATCAACTATGCTTCAGGGAAACTCATGCAAGATTGCTGAACCATGTTTGCTTCAGAAAAGGTGAGATTTCCCATCCTCATTATCAGTCGAGGATCAACGAGAACGATTTTGTTCGATCCATTCGCAATATCTGTCCAGTACCTCCACCTGATTGTTATGAACATGAACCAGAGCATGATTTGAAGAGATTCTTCAGGATGGCAGGTATCAGGTCGATCCAAAGGCCCTTGAAAGGGCAGGACATGCTCGAGAAGAATTGGAGGATACGAAGAAGGAACTCAAGAAGGAACTGGAATCATATGGTCCCAAGGGACCCAGTTGGGACTTTGTCACCTTCTATGAAGAGCTGTGCAGAAGGTTCCTCAAAGGAAGAATAGAAGAACCATATGGAACTAACTTACTGGCCAGCTCAGAGTCCTTGACATTTTTATCCTGGAACTATGGCAACATGGTTCGTGGTCAGAAGTACACCACACCAAGGTTTCTCCAAGGACTTGATAGTGCAATGAGGCCACGCAAACAGAGCGCCATGTCACTTCAGAATGAGCAATTTGAGAACAACCTTTTCTTCAACATGCTCTTCCTTTTACGTGCACATGTCGTGATTCTCCAGGAAGCTCATCTTCTTGTTCCTGCCAAGGAATTTATTGAGCAAAAGAATTGGACAGTTTGTTTCAATGATTGGGAGAATCTTGCAGTGATGGCTAGATTGGCACCAGGTGGATATGTCAAGATCATTGCTGGACATGACCAAGATCTTGGTCACTGTGAACAGCGTGATGTAACTTGGGCTATCTACGAGATTTGTTTTGGAGAAACAAGGCCTCGTCAAGATTTCAAGGATGCAGACTTTGAATTTGATGACTATGGTCCTGAGGACAAGCGTGTTCCACTTATTCGAGCGAACATGCATACCATCAGAGTCTGTAATTACCATGTTGATACACACCGTGCTGTGGATGCCCACCTACTGACAGGAGAACAAACAGCATTGATGCTTTACGAGTGTTTTGTCTATGAGGTGGACATCATTTCTGGTGATGCAAATAGTTTGGCCTACAGAATGTCTGGGTACAAAAGGCAGCCAATGGCTAACTACTATTACAGCACCATGCAGCATTGGATCCGCAGGTTTTCAGAAGCTCGTGTAAACGCAGATCCTGGTATCAAAGCGCCTATTCCCAGAACATTTTACAGTTCAACTTCACAGGTCCTCAAGAAGTGTGAAGTTTACTTTGATAAACTCTGGGAAGAATATTCTACTGTTGAAAAAGAAGAATACCAAGGATCAAGGCTTGGCGATACATGTTTGTCTACCATTGTTGAATGGGGTCATTCAATGAGTGAAGAGGAATATGAAAATTCCACAGTGAGCACGAAGGAGTTCATCTGTAATTTTTCAGAGAACTTTGCTATGATTGACACGGAGGTTATGTGCTCAAGGCCCACTGACGAGGACAGTCATGGTCCAATGTTTATTTCACTCAGACCAGCTTCCCTTTCATCTGGAGACAGAAAACAGTATCGCATGGGACCAACTCTTCATGAGGCGAACTTGCGGAGGAAGGAGAGACAAAAGCAGAATAAAAGGAAAGGAAGGCCGCCAACTTCTGATCAAGCAACTTCATCGTTTGCAGCGGCATAATTCCTGAGCGAAGGCTGAAATTTAAATGATGGCTAGGAAGTGAAGATACTTCTGGTTACAGTTGATACTTTGCTTCCAGGCTTGACTTTAAGTTTCCAGGCTGAAGTTTTAATGAACTCTGGTTTGCAACCAGGAGAAACTTTTTATCAAAGAAGATACTCCTGCATTCCAGGTTTATACGCTTTAGCATGCAGATAGGTATGGACAGTTTTGCATAACTGATGATATCTATCACAGCCGCTTTTTCTGAGATGACCTCTAATGGACAACCAGTCATGGTTGATGATTAAGTCATTTCATGATTTGCAATTGTAGTGCAAGTTTTGTACATACATTTGCCGGTATCTCCTTCTTGTGTTTTGATGTGAATGTGAAAGAGAGTCCTTTTGATGCAGTTTTATTTTGTCTGTGGATGAAAGCGGTCGAGACCACGTCGCGAGAAGATTATTCCTCGGACCGTACGCTCCTTGCATTTTGCAAGGCATCTTAATTCATTGCATTGTGCGGTCTTGAATTTTCGTTTTTGGTTACGCGAGTGTCGTTTGATTCTTTTATAGGTCTCTGTAGAGAAAAAGCCGCTTTCCCTTTTTGTTTGATTTAGCTCAGGCCATAAAGAGCTAGTGAGCGCCGGTACATGGTATCTTCGCCTGCGAAAAGTACAGTCTCCAGCCGAGGTACATTATCGCTTTGATTTTGTACTTGAGGTGAGTCAGCTATTGCTCCCTCACTGTATTTAGTAGCTATGAGATTACCTTCTCTGAAGTGTGAAACACACTGGATTAGGTAAGTACATGGCACCGTAGTTTTCTTTTAAGTTGTCAGAGCTAGCTGGACTGATTTAGCCTTGCAGTAGAAAAAGAGTATGCGACATACGCAATCAGCTAGAAGTGGACATGAATCTTGTGCCTGCTGAAAAGTAGAGCCTACCTGTACAGGGTTCCACTCCAACAGCTGATATAGTGTGTCCATGCTTGACTGCTTCAAGGCTCAAAGAGCAAGAGGATAAGACTCTGCGCATAAAAGACACTAGCGGTCTGCACCTCTACCGTGTACGCCCTAGTCACTCTTTCACCCCCCCACCCCACACCCCTCGTGCCGTCCACCATTAATTCTTACTTGAATGAATGCAAAATCCTTTTGCATCCACGTGGAACGTTAATATCTTGGCCATGGTTCCCAGCCCACTCATCTGAACAGCCTAACTTGGTTTCTGAGTCGGCCGTTTTGGTTTCTGAATCGGCCGTTTTGGTTTCTGAATCGGCTCTTTTGGTTTCTGAATCGGCTCTTTTGGTTTCTGAATCGGCTCTTTTGGTTTCTGAATCGTAGTTGCTGAATCGGCTGTTTTGGTTTCTGAATCGGCCGACTTGGTTTCTGAATCGGCCGTTTTGGTTTCTGAATCGGCTGTTTTGGTTTCTGAATCGGCGCGATTTTGGTTTCTGAATCGGCCAGTTTGGTTTCCGAATCGGTCAGTTTGGTTTCTGAATCGGCCGTTTTGGTTTCTGAATCGGACTGTTTTGGTTTCTGAATCGTAGTTGCTGAATCGGCCATTTTGGTTTCTGAATCGTAGTTGCTGAATCGGCTGTTTTGGTTTCTGAATCGTAGTTGCCTGATCGGTTAGTTTCTGAATCGGCTAATGACCATGCACTTGTTCCTGTGGCGTTGTGAGGACGCAAGAAGAAAGGATCCTCAAGCAATTACAATTCTAATTAAATTCTTTTTGTTACTAGTAGTAAGGCACTTGTTTCTACTAGCAGACATTGTTACTAGTAGTACGGCACTTGTTCCTAGTAGCGATGCACTTGTTACTAGTAGCGATTGTTGTCGCCCTTTGAATCCTCGAAGCGCCAAATCCAATGCCGACCGGTGTCCAATGCCGATTCGGGTTGCCGGTGTTGTTAGGCTGAGAAAGGGGACCTGAACGGGGACTTCGCTATTAGGTTGGAGGCCATCGCTGTTCACTATCTTTCCAAACCCTGAAGGATGTCGCCATGAGACCGAGCTGAACTTGATGAACCACTGTAAAACAGTTCCTAATAGATCCTAATAGCAATGGCCTCCAACCCAAGAGCGACGGCCTTCAAACTTTGAAGCGATGGCCTCCATCCTAGTAGCGATGGCCTCCATCCTAGTAGCGATGGCCTCCAACCTACTAGTGATGGCCTCCAACTTGTAAAACATTCCTCTCAAAACAAGGTCACTACCTGCGGATTTTCAGGGGCTTCAGCGCGGAGGGCTGGAGCTTGCAGTTTGGAGACGCGTGTTTGCGCTTGCTTTGAGGTATGGGTCGGATGGAGCACCAAACCATTGCACGCCGTCAGGAAGCCCCCGTTCGTTGTACGCTTGGGTACACCGCAGCGCCCATTAGTCCCTGAGAACATCACTCTCACGGCTGTGCTACGCTGTGGCCTGGCTTGGTGTACTCTGCTGGCCGAAGGGGAGGAAGTGAGATTCCAAGCGCTGGTCGCGTGGGTCACCCATGTAGACCGCCTGGCATGTTGCACAGATCGATCAATTGGTTGGTCACAATTAGTCATGACAAGAGTCAGTATGTTGCAGAGTAACTATGGTATGTTACACTTCACTTCGCAAAGCTGACAGCTTTCTTTTGACGTCTGTGTAGAATTGGCACTTTGGCCCGCCTTCCGCGAAACTGTTTGCTGCTTCTTTTCTCTCGGAGACTTGGCCTTCGGTGGACCAAACAGAAAACATATTTTTAGAAGCCTTTTCAGCAGCTCTTTAAGCATTCGAAGATTCATCTAGGCCCAGGCAAAACAACCAGAAAAACATGGAGAGAACAACGTACGCATAATCGTCATTTACTACTCTGTCAAAACAAACGTCGCAACATCTTATGCAGAACGGGAATCCGCTGAAGAGAATTTACACGAAATTAGCAAGCAAAGGTGCATAGCACACAGCTCCATGACAAACTGGGAAACAAAACCCGAAAACGGGCAGGACATCAGGAACGCACTTGGCATCTCCAGTTTCGGCTGAAAGGCGGCATCATTTCTGACAAAACGCCGAGAATCACAAATGATACCTAGGGGGTGAAAACAAGACAGGACCTTGGCGGGATAGGAGAAGAAACAGGAAAAAAAAAACAAAAACACGCAAAAAACAAACAAAACATGTGAAAAAAAGGGGTGCCTAGCGGCGGGAACCATTGGTCCCAAGTGGAAAGTGTCGAGAGACCGCCGAGAGCCGCACCTTTGGAGAGAGCTGAGTTTTCACTGGGACGGCCTGTGGAGGCTGATTGAGAGAACAATTTAAACGCGATTGAAGGAACTCCTAAAAAAACGGTTACAGCAACTTTTTGAAACACTCCTCCCTCACAACAAACTAGAGTTTGGCTCTTGAGATTCCAAGATTGGAGAACTGTTTTCTTTTACAACAACATTTCTAGAAGTATGAACATTGCTTGGGTGGCCTACAAAGCCACGGACGTGGACTGAAACGCTTCTTGAAGGGGACTGCATGACGCGGCAGCAAGATCCCAAAAATCGCCTCGAACTCCTCCGGGTCCTGGACCCAAAGTTTGAAGTTACCCAAGCAGCGATCCGCCTCTGCCTGGCGCGACGCGATCAACATCGCCGGCTCGCCAGCTGCTAGTGGTGCTGCTTCGTAATTGCGAGTGTTTGGAGCGCTTTCGGCGAGCTCATGACTCCAAAAGCCTCTTGCAAGATAGCAAGAGTCTTCAACGTCTCAACGCCATCTGAAGGCGAACGCACACGGTTCACTCATCTTCAAAATAAAGTTGTGGGTTTGATTGAGTCGATTTGGGGTGCGCGAGCAAAAGCCATGAAAACTGTGAGTAGGCGAACGTGCAATATGCCATACAAACTCGCACCCTGCCGCGTCTTGAGGCAGAATCGTGAGCGGTGCGTGCAGTGTATAATACGCAACGCTGATTTCACTGCTATGCTACTCGCCCCAGTTTTTTCTGGCTTGATGCTATTGTGGCGCGCCTTGTCGAGGACACCCCCTAGGTCAACAACTAACGCTATATTTTTGTTTAATCCCTTCGGCTTGACATATGAGGTTGTCAGTCCGCAATGGTCAAGGAGCTGTAGGAGGTTCTTTAGGCGCAGGTGGCTTCAGGCGCAGCAATCTCTCGTGAGGCCCTTCGCACATATCTCCTTCCGTTGATCATTTGGTCATACTTCTTCACCATATTCCGAGATAATCATATAGGCCTTGTTTGGGTCACCTTCAGTCATACTTTCGCTTGCGCGGGTGGTGGCGTTATTCATTCTTCCCTCCTCCTTTTCCATGGAGATTGCCTCACCTTGTTACTCAGATCCGACATCGGTCAACTCCAGACTTTCGGTATGTCCCGAGCGTGCGTCAGAACATTCTGTTAGAGAACATTCTGTTCACGAAGGAAAGCAAATCGTTGCTGGTTCATCACGGGTAGCTTGATCAGCCGAAGATCGCTCACCCAGTATCTCGAGTTGATCTTTTTGCTTGCGCTCTCCCGTGCTTGTTGGCACATTTCCTCTGCAAATGTCCTCAACTTCCTCGTTCATCCTGAACAGTCCTTCTGTCTTGGCACTGAATAGTTGAGATTTGAAGAGCTGTTGCGTCTCATCATACATCTTCGACATTTTAGTTGACATCTGCATCGCCTCGACGGACTCAGCAGCGACATTGTCATGTTGTTGGAGATACTGATATGTCCAGTCTCTTCTTGAATGGGATATGTCGCCCCTTCCTCTTCTTGTCTGAGCTCAGTCATGATCACGCCGAGCTGGTTACAGGTTACAGTGTCTTGTTGTTAGATACATGTGTCTGTCCGCGTCAATCTTGAGCTCCTCAAAGCTTGCTCTTGTAGCAGCGTACTCATCCTCGAAAGTGTCATAGAGCATGTTCGAAGCTGTCAGCTTCTCCAAGAGGGTGAGCTTCCTGCGATGTTGTTGGACGGGAGCTGTCAGGTGTCGACGGCAACCCTCGGGGTGGTGAAGCCTCCTCTGTCAGCTTTTCTTTCCTTGCTGATGCTCTTTCTTGGGTGTCTGGCTTCGTCCTCGCCACACTCTGTTGTGATCTCGGTCAGGTAGATCTCGACGCTCTTCTCGGCCTTGGATGTCTTGCCACTGGTTGATGTCTCACCTTCGCCACAGGTTGTGGCACAGGCGCATCCTCAATGGCTTTGGGTACAGACACTTCTGAACCTGTTGGCATCGTGAGAGATTCAGGTGTAGGCCGTGACAATTCACCTGACGCAGCAAACAAGTATGCCATCCCACTCATTGCATCCGAGCTTGACATCGTTCCAGGTCAGCCGTCGAGGATCAGCAGTCCCACGCTCAGCTCCTAGCAGAACGCAACGGCTGATAACCTGTGAGTAGACGAACGTGGGACATGCCGTTCCAAATCGCATTGACGACCCAAAGTAGTGACTGGCATGCGCACTGTGTACATATACATGTATGTATGTATGTATGTATGGATGGATGGATGGATGGATGGATGGATGCATGCAATGTTGATTTCACTGCTGTGCTACTTGCAAGTAACAAGTCTCTCCTCGCCCTGCCTGGGCAAAGCGAGTTGCCTCCTCATGTTCCAACTGTGGCTGTGGATTGTGTAGCTGCAAGTGGCGGCAGAAATCCTTGGCAGGATCGGAAAAAGCGGAGGCTTTTGTGAAGCTTTGTGCTGATGAGCGGAGATGTGAAGTAAGGTGAAGTTTATTGCCAGTGAACGAGAGTGAGTATAAGTAGGTAGGTTAGGTAGGTAGGGTAAAGTAAGGCGAGCGAGGCGAGCGAGTCAGTACGGCGGAAGGAGGCGGACGGGATGCACAGTAAAAGTAGAACCCGGGGCGAACGCCTTGCTCCTAGTAGCGATGCCACAAGAATGCTTGTACGGGCGGACATCGCTCGCAAGTTCAAACAAGAACGTGTTCGCTCATGCTTTTCTGAAGACCAGTCTTTACACCTTCCTCATTTTCCTTTACAGACCGTGCTTGTTTCTTTAGTCATTATCTTTCACATTTCACATTTGGTGTAGTAGATACATTCTTGGTTGACTCATTCTCCGGATCCACATTGTTTGTAGAAACTGGAAGCGAGGTGAAAAGAGTGTGACTTCGACTCACGTTCGGTCGACTGAAGCTCCTGGCATCGCTACTAGGAGCAAGGACACTACTAAACTACTAGAATGGCAAAAGTGACTGAACAACTTCGGTCCAGCAGCATACTCCTCGCGTGCTTTGCGATTCTTTTGGTCCAACTGCTCCAACTCCTGCACTGCAAATCAGGCATGTTCATCAACTGAATACTTCACCGCTGAAGGGGCACCCTACAAATAGGATCCGCTTGAAGCCGACATAACTTTCAAGCTTGACACCATGTCAATTGCATCTAAAACCGCTTCTGCCTCCATGCCCCCAATGCCTTGTTTGTTGGTTGATCTGCAGAACTCTATTCACAAGTGACTGACTGGTCCCGACGCTTACAAAGCTCGTTGTCCTCTCTTGTACGGTCGATCAGGTCGCGGCGCGTAGCCACCTTCGGAGATGAAGCTTAGGACTTGGCAAAAAACAACAAAAGAAAGCCCCACGACCTGATAGAGGGCACGTATGAAGGAACATTGGGTAAGACTGCCTGCAACAAACCCTTAACAAGCCCTTGCCCAGCAAAGGATCCACCAAATATCTGCAAGGAGTCGGTGCAACCCAGTGGAAAGGCTAATGGAAAACCACACGACTCAACTTGTCCGTCACTAAAATGGCTGCTAAGGTGAATGTGTTTTCTTTCATGACGAGTTTTGGAACATACACGGATTTGATGACCGAAACAGCTCCGCCTCTTCGTTGCGGGTGGCAAGCTTCAGTCTGACAAGCAGGGGGTTTCAATCCGTGCTGAAAGCTGGTGAAATGGACACCAACAATCCGGAATCTGAAAGCAGCAACCAACACTTTTGCGCATTCAGGATGTGTCCTTGTTAGTGACAAAGATAACATTCTCCATTTTTTTGGGGAGGAACACACTATTGAACATCTACTACAATTTAAACATACTATCCACAAACTACCATTGAAACATGAGTTTGATCTGATGTTTGGTGACTGGCGCAACACTCTACGAGTTCAATCCCACAAGAGCAACCGAACACAAAGAAAATGTTCAACTTGTTCAAATTGTTTCTTCTTTTGCTTGTTAGTATCGTGGAGGGCGTCGCTCTTAGGTTGGAGGCTATCGCTCTTAGGTTGGAGGTCATTACTAGTAGGTTGGAGGCCATCACTCTTAGGTTGGAGGCTATCGCTCTTAGGTTGGAGGCTATCGCTCTTAGGTCGGAGGTCATTACTAGTAGGTTGGAGGCATTGCAATTAGGTTGGAGGCCATCACTCTTAGGTTGGAGGCTATCGCTCTTAGGTTGGAGGTCATTACTAGTAGGTTGGAGGCATTGCAATTAGGTTGGAGGCCATCACCCTTAGGTTGGAGGCTATCGCTCTTAGGTTGGAGGTCATTACTAGTAGGTTGGAGGCCATCACTCTTAGGTTGGAGGCTATCGCTCTTAGGTTGGGGGCCATTTCTAATAGGTTGGAGGCCATAGCTCTTAGGTTGGAGGCCATCACTCTTAGGTTGGAGGCTATCGCTCTTAGGTTGGGGGCCATTGCTAATAGGCTGGAGGCCTTCGCTATTAGGTTGGGGGCCATCCCTATTAGGTTGGACGCAATCGCTCTTAGGTTGGAGGCCATTGCTATTAGGTTGGACGCAATCGCTCTTAGGTTGGAGGCCCTTGCCATTAGGTTGGAGGCCATGGCTTTTAGGTTGGAGGCCATTGCTTTTAGGTTGGAGGCCATTGCTATTAGGTTGGAGGCCATTGCTTTCAGGTTGGAGGCCATTGCTTTTAGGTTGGAGGCCATTGCTTTTAGGTTGGAGGCCATTGCTATTAGGGTGGAGGCCATTGCTTTTAGGTTGGAGGCCATTGCTATTAGGTTGGAGGCCATTGATATTAGGTTGGAGGCCATTGCTATTAGGTTGGAGGCCATTGCTATTAGGTTGGAGGCCATTGCTTTTAGGTTGGAGGCCATTGCTATTAGGTTGGAGGCCATTGCTATTAGGTTGGAGGCCATTGCTATTATGTGTCTTTTGTTTTCTGCTCATGGCTCCCCCAGTGTCATCTCCCGACTGTGGGGGTCGGACGAGCGTTTGTTGCCCCGATCCATGCTGGCTAGCGCTGCGGCTTCCGTGGCAGCCGCATCGTGCTCCTGGACAAAACACTTTAGACGAAAAACATCAAGAGGAAACATGTTGTGGGCTCTTAAAAAATATGCCACAAACCATCAAGTTTCATGGAGGAAACTCACCAACACCGCCATGTTCATTGCTGCAATGCTGCGGAACGTCTGGTTGTCGAAAAACGAAAGAAGTACAAATCATGTCACAAAAGTGCTGCAATACCGTGTTTCTTGATGTTTCTATCCTAAGCGTGCAATGATTTTTGCAGATTGACTGCCTATTGAGTGTTTCATGCGATCACTGCTCTGTTGTTCAAGGCCCCGCCCCCGGCACCTTTGTCCGAAACCTTCCTCCGAAGCCTGCTCCGGAAGCTCCCCGGGGCCGGCTCTGCAACCTTCCTCCGGAATCCTGCTGCGGAACCTCTTCCGGAACCCTCCGGAACGTCCTCTGAAACTGGAATCAGAAATACATTACTTCGAGTGATCCCCACCATGGGATTATACTCTGCTGACAACCGAAGGCTTCTATGTGGTTTCTGGCATATTTTCTGACACTCTTTCTGGCAAACAGATTCCGCCACTATATCTGGCATAAATTCTGGCATTCTATCTGGCCTAGTTGCTGACATTTTTTCAGCATTCTTTATGTCTGGTTCAGGTCCGGTGCTGTCCACTGCTGGTACTTGAGGAGAAAGAGGAGAAGGAGGAGGAGGAGGAAAGGACAGCTCTGATAAAATCTAACAACCCTCACCTGGCAGGTGGGGAAAAAGGTAGTGAGAACGTTAGAAGTCTTTCGCTCCTTCTTGTTGGGTCCTACTGGTGCTTTTGAGTGATTAGACTTGTCGCTTTGGTTCTTTACTTTACCAACAAAAACACCTTTTGAGAGCAACTCTGCTCTGAAGTCCCAGTCCTTTTGGAGGCACCTCAGCTCTTTCTTCTTCTCTTTCGTCACACGATCCAACAACTCCATGCTGACAGCGACATTCTTCATATGTTCCTCGTCGGTGGCGAAAGCGGTCAGAACGCTCAGTGAATACTTAGCGTTCAGCTGACGGGCTCATATTTCCTTTCTCTGAGCAAAAGCAAGTTGGAAGGTGTTCATCGTTTCAAATGTCACTGAAGATCAAGTGTTGAATCCTCTCCGTGGCCTTGACGTACGGCGTAGAGTGAGATAACAGCTCCTTCTGTGTTTCCTGCGCTGGTGAGCCCGTTCAGGGCGCATTAGCGGGGCAACTTTTTTTCGATACGGCCGGCAATGTTGGCCCTTTGCTGCAATTTGTGGCAAGGATGACTTTCTGCATGTTCCAACAAATAAGTCCGGTGCAGCCTTTGTGGAGGTTGGAGGCCATCGCTACTAAGGTGGAGGTCATCGCTATTAGGGTGGAGGCCATCGCTATTAGGTTGAAGGCCATCACTCTTAGGTTGGAGGCCATCGCTACTGGCTGTTAGGTTGGAGGCCATCGCTACTGGCTGTTAGGTTGGAGGCCATTGCTCTTAGGTGGGAGGCAATCCCTCTTAGGTTGAAGGCCTACCAGACCTGGAACACAGTTCGTGTAAGAGTTCGTGTAGTTGAGTCAAATCAAGCCAGCCTGATCACACGAAATTTTAAGTTCATGTTCCCTCCCAAAAAATCTAGGAGCCAAATCATTAGTGCGAGCGCTTCTTCAAGGAAGCGTGAGCTATCCTGCGTCCATGCGTAGTAGCTACCCAGCTACTAGCTGCTTGCTGCTTAAGCTACTAGCCTCTTACCTACCTAGGGGCCTACCCCAAAGATTGTGTCCATTGCGGCCAAGATTGGATTCTGATTCCTCACCATTTCAGTCTTTTGTTTTCTGCCACAAGTCCTGGAAAGGAAAACCTTAATTGTTGCACTTTTATGATCAGTTTGAGATAAACAGTTTGATAAGTTCTATTCATGGCTGTTCACCTTGGTTCACCCTTGAAGTGCAGCAATTGACGACCCAGGATCTACACGTTCCTCTAAAACACCGCGGCGTCCTGAATGCGCATCATGATTTCTCCCTTTCCTTGGGAAACCTGAGCAAATCCACCATACCGAAACGGCCGATCATGAGCCCTTCCTTTGGTGTGCTATCTTGGCCTGACACTTCTACTTTCCTCTCAAAACACTTGTTTGTTTCTTCCTGAAAACAAGCCATCGCTAGTATGGAAAACGAGCATTCAAAAAATAACGATGGTGATGCTAGTCTTGTGGATCGGGCTCCCTTTGGTCACTTTGTGATTGCTGATAAGACCGTTTCGTTAAAGAGTTGGACCATGAAAAAACAGCCGGGAACAAATACACATTGGGAGTGGTGTTTGTATGCTCTACGCGAGAAAAGGGCGTGAATTGGGTACAACACATTCGCGTTCTCGGGGGTGTCACTACCCAGAATATTTTCCACTTAGAATGCTGAAGGATAAACAGAGAGTCAACAGGACAAAGAAAGGAAGAGGACAGTTTCAAGGTCTTGAAAAAAGAACACAGTACGAAAAAAAGGAGACTTCAGCCAGGATGCCAGCTTCACAGAACTGATCACAAATACGCACAACTTTCCATGGTCAGGGGAGGGCAAAGCGGCAAAGCAAGTGTCCAGCCAAGTGAATGTATGTGAATTGTGCAAATTCCATCCCACACCCACGACATTCATGCCACAAATGTTGACATGGCACCTGCTCCTCCAGCCCTTCATATGACTTGTTGGCTTCATCACAGGCCTTTGCAGACAAGCATTGCTGACGAACTGTTTTGTTATATGAACAAATTATACCAGCGTAGACCCCAAACAGAGCAAGGTTCAAAAATGAGATCTCCGAACAATATGGCCAGCAGTATTTCCTAGAGGAAGAAAACTATAGTCCACCATGTAGACGCACATACAAGATTCAAAGGGAAAGCATTAAAATTCTGTTTTTCATTGACTTTACAATGGGACGCCGTACAAGGGCTAAAATTAATCGGCCCAGCATCCAGCCAAGCCCAGGGATACAAAGCATCCAGACAGACAAGTGGAAGACAAGTGAGCTTACTGGGGGCCAAGTCGAGACATGTGGGAGACAAGTGTGAAATCATACGGCCAGAGCACTCAGAGCATCCAGAGCTTACTGGGAGACAAGTGGG